TCTCTCAAACCATGTCAAATATAATTTCATTTGCTATGATAATATAAGAAAATATCTATGCGGCACCAAACCCATAACTTGTTATAAAGATGGAAGCAAATTATGCAAAACCGTGGAGACCGAAATATTATTTTTGTAACCAATAAGTTATCTGGAATTTTTTGCAGCCAATGAATTTCAGATAACTCAACTGGGCATAATCCTAGTAAAAGATATTGCTAATATTTGTAAAGTTTTTTTATTAAGAATTTTTTTTATGGGTTATCCCTACGACAAATTAGGCATATTGCATCATTTATTTTGTAACTCAACAATTACGACCACCATTAATGGCGACTGCGCTGGAGCCGATATCAAGGGAGAGCGGAATTATCTCTGTCTATTAATCTCTTGGTATGATCTGAATCAATCCAGATTCGAGACTCACATTTTGGCACCATCTAAGGGGACCCGAAACTATTTCGCCCATATCAGCTCTCGGGATCGCCTTTCCTTTTTACTATGTCGGATCAAGAGGATCAAAGTAACGTTTTGTCTGATATCAAAGCTATGTTGTCCGATCTCAAGTCTGCGTCCGATCAACAAAAGACTTCAAACGACGCTTTGGCAGCACGCTTCGCCTCTCATGAAGAGTTAGTCTCTTCCCAATTGACCAATCTGGTTGCGGCACAGGTCGAGCTGGAATCGCGCCTTAACGTGTTAAACGCTCCGGTGATTGGCGCTAATCTGCCAATTCACCCAGTTCACTGAGTTGACGCTTCATCTGTCGATGCAACTGCTTCGGGAGCAAGACATGTGAATCCAATTGGGACCTCCGAACTTCGCTTAAACGAGCAGATTCCAATTTGCTTTATCACGGCGAATCCGTCTAACCAGGGAACGGGTTCTAGGTTAGACTCAGAACCCGTGGTTGAACCGCATAACCTTCCTCCTCCACCCACGTCAGATCAACGAAACTCAATTCGGCCTAAATCAGAAAGCGATCAAGTTCATGGCCTAAATAATCCAAATTCAGATAGGCGACATTCTTTGTCCGGAGGAGTTCCTGTTGGACAAAGTGGGTCCGATTTCGAGACTTTGCGTAAGGATCTTGACATAACTAACGCGGAGCTTCTC